TAATAAATTATTAACTTTGATAAAGCAAAAATATTCTTAGAGTTTTTAAAAAATTTAATTTAATACTTTTATCCAACATTGGAAAAATAAAATTTGATTTAATCCACTATTTATATTTTTATTATTTTTTAATGAAAATTCTACATGTATAAAAATTATTTAGAAGACAATCTAATTATGTTTTTGCAAAAAAAAATATAGAAAACACCATTTGTTTCTCTTGAAGCTTTTCAAAATCTATACAAATCTCTTTTTTATAATAGAAAACTAAATTGCATACATCGATCACCAATGAATTTTTAAACTATGCATAGGTTTCTTTTATTTTCAAGAGTTTTTTTGGAATATTTTGAAACAAAAAGTTGTATTGCATTAAATATATCTTCAACACTTTATATATGATCATTTCCTATAATTACCTTCGCCTTTAGATGGCACGGCAATAGCATGTTCAAACTAGGTAAGTACCTTTTATAACCGGTGCGAAAGTCAATTTTAATTTTTTCTTTTGGTAGTGGTGATTAGGAGTAGCCTAGCTACCAATTAACTCGTGATGATTATGAGAAAGCCATTGTTAAGAATTTTTGGAATTTTTCGCCAACTCAAAATATTAGGGAATAATTATGTCTCGTCATGGGACAAGGAATAAAGATTTGAACTTTAAAGCTTCAAAATTTGAACACATTAAAGATGAGGTATACGTTGGTAACTGCGGAGGTGTAGTTAGGGATATTACTGCTTCTTGAATTTGTGGTTTTAATGCTAATATTTGTAACTATCCCCTCGCCATTTGCCGGAGTGTTTAGTTTGATTTATGGCTTGCAACTTTGTTGGGATAAAAAGCTCCACGTATCCAAGCTTTTAATTTACAGTTCGTGTTGAGACAATCAATTTGATAAATCATTTTATACATGTATATATAATCTAGCGTCCTTTTAAAGATATCATTAATCACACTAGATCCTCACTGTATAGGGATTGTAATGTTAGTCTAAATTTATGCATAGAGATGCCAATTATATTCTCGTGCCCATTTATTAGTTACTCATGCCTTTAAATGACTGCTTATTTTGTTACCTTTAATTAACCCCCACCTTTTTGTACGAACGTGATGAATGATGAATGAAGACTACCTGAGAACTCTGGTCAGAATGTAATCTTTTATGATTAGTGTGCTATTTTCATTTAAAAAAAAAAAAGTAGAACACGCTGGAATTCAATCCCATTGAACTCAATATTATTTTTCTCAAAACACGGGAACCATACACTTGCACATATGCTATATTGCCTTCTGTTCTACTTCATATACTGCCTTCTGTTTTATGCTATACTTGCACTTATGCTATACGAATCACCAACGGCTAGTGATAAAACCAAGTATCATAACCAACATTGAGTCTACTTTATTACTAGTCTCAACTCAACACCTATAACTCACGATGGAGAATGTGTGTTGTGTGTGTCCCAGATGCCTTTAATTAATATCCTAATATTCATCATGGTTATTTAACATATTAGTGGTTATCTTTAATTACCCCTAATCTATATTCCCCCCTATGCTTTTCTATAAGGTACTTTACAAAAATAAAAGGTGGTCACAATTATAAGATGTTTCACAAAAATGTGAAACAATATCTTATTTTTATTCTCTAGTTTTAATGGTATTCTTGAGACTTGAGAAAGCATGATGACCTTACATAACTAACAAAACATCTCTTTCATGTTTTCATTGACTACATTTTTTTTATAATAATATGTATCATTTAAAAAAAATTACTTCTAACTTATCCCTTCCTTATAAGAAAAGGGAGACACATTTACCTATGCACGGACACAAACATGTTAATATTAGGTTTGAACCTAGGACTTCTTCCTGATTAGGGAGGTGGTTGATGCGGTTTGTCATTCAACTCTTAAAATAAAACTAAATCAACTTTAATATAATATAGGGCCAATCTAGGTTATTTCCTAAGAAATGATTTCAGCCCAACTAAAAAGTTTATCTAATAGAATAAATCATTCAATGAATTGCAAGTTGATTAACTAATTACCTACCTAATTACCTAGTTGATAAGTAATTACAATTACTAGCTAAGGTGAATGAAGTGGACTTCCCTTTTCAAGCAAGAACCCTAGGGTATTATTAATGAAAGAATCATAACCTCTAATTAATTATAGCAACTCAATCAACTCTCTTCCTTAGTTGAAAAAGTGTTTATTCAAGATAACTTTCTCAAGTAACCTAGCTTTACTAATTCAATTCCCTAAGTGCTAATTACAAGCTACTTAAGTGACCTCACTAGCTTAGCTTAAGAATTAACTAAGTGTTTAGTAAAAAATCACTCCCTAATGCCATGGCCTAAGGGTCACTCAAGCTCAAAACTATGAAACTTAAGCAATTCATCAAGCATTTACCAAACAATTATATGTTAGGTCAATACAAGACATTCACTGTTTGAAATCACATATTACAATGCAAATTCATATAGCGGCCAAAATTTCTAGCAACAAAAGGAAGTAAAATTCAAGTCAACAATCTTATTTCAACACAAACATTTACAACCAACCATAGTCATAATACTCTAATGAAATTGAAATAAGATGAGGAATAAGTTGAGCTTAGCCAAATGAAGATTTCAATACTTCTCTTCCATTAACTCCTCCCTAGGATTTCATAGAGAATTTAGCTAGAAAATATCAAAACCATCTTACTCTTCCAAAAACTAGACATAGCCAAGTAGAGCTCCATAAAAATGGTGGAATCAAGCTTCAAATCTCCTTGCAAGTGATAAGAATAGCTTAAGAGGAATGTAATGTTGCTGGTTTTGTGAAAGTTTGATGGCTGAATGTGGAGTTATGGGTGCTGAAAAAATGAAAAAAATAGAGAGAAAGTGGAGAAAATGAAGAACAAGATGAACTAGAGAAAGAATGAAGAGATGATGAAATGTGTGTGGTGAATCTCAAATTAATGAGTGTGAGATGTGCATTTTGTGTTGGCTTCACCTGAACAGTAATTAAAATAAAATAAAATAAAATAAAATAAAAAGAAATTTTGGAGCTTTGTCACACTTACAAGATGGCACCCTCCTATTGGCTTGTAGATGATTCCAATGTGTGTCAAATTAATCCTATGCATCATCCACATTTTAAGCTAATCTAGACCACCAAATTTGAAATAAAACATGTCCAAATTCATTAGCATTGACCCCATGGACTTTTGACTTTATTTGCCTAATTGATGCACAAGTCACATTGTCACCTATGTAATAAAAATCACATAATTCAATTAAATAACATGTGATATCATAAAGTATAATTTAAGTGCAGAATTAAATTTATATTTAGAAGGTAGAATTTATTAAAATAACCAAGTTCTTATGTGCACAAAATCATATAAACATTTTCACGTAAATGTAAACCGAAAACTAGGTCAAATTAACACATTTAAAAAAGTATTGACTTTTTAATTTAATTACTTCTAAACTAAAATAAATTTGCAAAATCTAATTTGACCACTCTTCTTCTGAACTTAAAATGCATTTTGTCAATTTTTTTATATATTTTCTTAAAATTTTATTTTTAGACTAAAATACCCCTAATATACAAAACCTTGACATTTAGGCAAATTTTCAAATCTAATGCAATGTGTGGACTTTAAGATAATAAAACATTAATAAATGGTTCTAATTAATATAGAAAAATATATAATAAATATGTTCTATCAGTAGTGTTGCTGCTAGGTAATTAACCATTAACATATTTATATCCCTTTAACTGACAAGGTTACAGTTGAAAAATTAGAATGTTTTTAACATATAAAGTAGCATAATGAATTTTCTAATTAATTTAGTGTAAAAATGTCTATCTTATAGAAAGAAATAAATCCTCAACTTTAAAAAAACAGAGCATCTAGTAGCCTACCATTAATTTCACTCAACAGACATTATGTGGGGTTTATAAATGACATGTGGCACTCTACCTCAGCATGTATAAAGGTACACTGGATAGCCTCTACTATAAAAATTAGACCATTCAATATTTTTCCATCAATTTTGACTAAATACCATTTATTTTCATACTTATGAGATCCACAACGCTTCAATCTCTCAAATTTTGATGCCTTTGATCTCAGTCTCAATTCAAAAAGAGGAGATTTAAAGAGTTCTTATCTGAATATATTTATGAGGACAACACCAACAAAGTAGAAGAAAATAATTCATGGCTAAATTAAGCTAAAATCAAGCTTCTCCCACATATAGTAAAATCAAGCTTCTGCTTTATTGGCATCATTCTCGTGAATGTCTTTGGATAAAAATTCTTTGAACCTCTTCTTTTTAAGTTGAGACTAAGAATGAAGGTAAAAAAATTGGAAATAGTGGCATGTTGTGGTTCTAATAAGTTTAAAAATAAATAGTGTTTGGTCAAAATTGATGGGAAGGTATTGGAGGGTCTGTTTTTTTTCTTTTTATATAATAGAGGTTACCAATGCTCCTTAAAAAATAGTTCGTAAACAAATCTGCACCTTTACACATGCTAAGGTAAAGTGCCGCATGTCATTTGTGAGCCTCACATAACATTCATCGAGTAGAATTAATGGTGAGTTACTAGATGCTCTATTTTTTAAAGTTGAGAATTTATTCACACCACCTAATAATATAAGCCATATTTAAGACTCTTAAAAAATAATTAGTGGCCAAATTTGTAAATTTACCGTAGTTTGTAATATAGATCAAAAGTACGTATACCTAACTTCAACAAACATTCTTTTTAAATCTCTAATTGATATATTAAAGAAAAAGTAAAAAGCGATTGGCGAGCCCGTGATAACGACGTAATGTACTAGATGACGAAAGAGTAGCTCCAGCGAGGGATGCTAATGTTCACTTTGAGAATATTTTGTACAGCTAGTACAACAACATGTCAATTACGAAAATTATTAATTCAACAAAAACACATATATATAGCTGGAATGGCCTGTAAGAAATGTGGGGACCCTTAATGGAATGTGACATTTATGAACCTTTTTATTCAGCCTTTAATTCCATCATCATCTTAACACATTAATTGCATAACTACTCTTATTAGCAGCTTCATCAGAAAATTAAGAGAGATCATATCATAGATATGGAGGTTGTTGATAAAGGTCCAGTTTGCGTTACAGGAGGCAATGGATTTATAGGTTCTTGGTTGATTATGAGGCTTCTTCAACAAGGTTATTCTGTTCATACCACTGTTAGATCTAATCCAGGTACGTACTCACTTATTGACAAAATTAGTATTCTGATCTGTTGTTTACTTTTTCAACATTTGATTGATTCTGCACATGCTATGTTTTTAAGAATTTCGTAGATTAATTCAGATATATGAAGTATGAGAGAAAGACAAAAATGAATTCTGCTTCTGATCTTTCCTTTCTTATTAATTATCCCTTGTTTAATTGGGATGAAGTATAATTTAGATGATTTGAATACAATACACTGTATATATAACACCACAGTAATTGACAATGAAGTATATTTAAACAACCACACCTATTCAATGAAGTATAATTAAGATTATTTGAATTCATCACAAGTTTCCGCGGGGAAAATTTATCACATGTCGATCTATATATATATATATATATATATTTATAACTGAGACCTCACTTTCTAATTTAATTCCATTTCAATGATATATATCACTATTTTCTTTTTAAGTTCAACAAGACTTTAAGTTTAAAATTGGTCTTGTTTTTTTCTTTTCTCTTCGGTTTTCCCCCCTTTCTCGAGAGAGTGATCCTCAAGTTCTATGGAGATATGTGGATTATTCCCTTTGCATGTTAAAAAAAAAAAAGACATTTAGGTGTTTTTTAAGAGTGATATAATTAATGAGATTTTTTTATGGCAAAAAAAAAATTAGTGAGATTTCTTAAAAATTGTCATCAATGAATTTTGAATTAAAAAAAGTTCATGTTTATTTGTCATTAAGCATGGAAAAAGTAGGTTGTTTTTAATGACGCTAATTGTTTCCTTAAGGTGAAATTTTGTCTTATAATTTCGAATATAGAGTAAGTAATATTAATATACACCGATCGGCCAAAACATTAACACACACGCACACGTCAAATAAATAATTATACACATTTTTCATGGATTATTTTAGCCTATATGAGTGATACTATTTATAGTTAATAAATAATAAGACTTTAAATTTGACCAAGTATAATAATACTTTTTTTTTTATTTTGATTATTAACAAGTGTCTTTGCTCATATAATTAAGGGTGAATGAAAATAAAGTCCCAAAAAGATAAATTAATAAAAGTTAAGTCTTTGACAAAAATTTTCATAAAATAAATGATTAAGGGTTATTTTTATTTCTGAATTGTATACAAACTGTCACAAATACACCTAAATGAATTATAGGTCAATTCTGTCCTTCAACTTCAAAAATTCTTTTTCTCATCATACTATTAACTAATCATTAGTGGGCCTCACATGATATTTTTTTAATATTTTTATTATAAAATATTTGAATTGAGAGGCAAAAATGACTCTTAACCTAATAAAAATATTAAAAAATAGTGAAACCCACTAATGACTAACAACTATTAAGTGTTTTTTATGTCAAGATGATGACAAAAAAAAATATTTAAAGTTGATAGACATAATTGACCTATAGTTGAGTTTAGAAATATTTATTACTTTTTGTGTACGATTTAAGGACAAAAATGACTCTCAATTCTAAAATAAATTTTTATTATTATTAATTTAAACAATTATAAATAGGAATTCAAATTGCAAGCTAATTGTTATACATGAAATTTAAATATTATATTTGCAATTGGAACTTTCACATTTGCAACTGTTTAAATCTATATTTATAACTGATTTTTTAAAAAATTTATAGAGGATTTAAATATTATTAATTTCCTCTTTTGAGACTTAATTTTCATTCTCTCTATCATTAATGTTCTTGAAAAAATGATAGTTAAGTCTCAAAAAAATTATTTAATTAAAAAAAAGATCTTATGAAATGTCAATAAAGTTTATTAACTTGATAAATTATTTGATCAATCCAATGGGCTTGTAATTAAATTTTATATTTCATAACTTTGTATAATACAATGAAAAAATGAGCAAATTATCCCTCAAAGTTTAGATTGAGTAGTATCATAAGCCTTGAACTTCTTGATTGTGTAAATTATTCGCTCAACTTCTAAAAATGGTATAATCTGTCTCCTATCATTAACAAAAATTAAATTTAACTATTAGTTAATCAAAAAAGGATATCAAAAATTACAGAAAATGATCAAAAGATTGCAATAAATGACCCAAAAATCATAGAAAATGACTAAAAGAATTTGGTGATTTTCTGTAATTTTGTGAGGTATTTTTTTTATCATTTTTTGGTTAATGAATGGTCAAAGTCAACTTTTGTTAATGGCAATGGCCGGATTATATCATTGTTAAAAGTTGAAAGAGCAGATTGCATAATAAATAAGTTTAGAATCTATGGTGCCACTAGATCTAAAATTCAAACTCATTTACCCTAATGCAATATCCTGCTAGAGTCTTTTTGGGCTTCTAGCCCCGTTTTATACCCAAAAAAAAAAAACAAAAGAAAGAAAAACAATTTACTGCTAGAGTTCTTATTTTTAATATGGAAAATAGAATTTTAACATAGAATTTCAATTTAAGAAATCATATGGTGATCAGTTTTAAAGATTTGCATCTGTTACTGATATTCGCAACTTCGTATTTTCAATTAGCAACTACTAGTCCATTATTTGTAAGTTTGTATATTTTATTTTGCAAATAGTGTTGTTTTTTAAGCATTGAACATAAAATATACACTAAGACTTTAATTCATTGATCAGTTTCCATTCTTATTCCAAAATATGCAAGGGTTGTGACAACATATCATTTGTCTGTATATGTATAATAAAATATATGCAATACTATAAACCCATTTACATAATAGGAGTCGTAACAAAAGCCATTTCACTTAATTATTGTTATCTTGTTTGCAACTGATAGAGTAGCAATTAATTGCAAATTCTCGAGAGTGATTCAAAAAATTAAATTAAAATTATATCTTCCTTCTTTAAAATATAGAAACTCATGTTACAAATTTTATTGTATTAAGTTGAAAATGATAAAATACTAGTTGTGACTTGTGAATTGTATTGGGATATTTAAATAAACCATTTTAATTAATTTTAACAGGATTTTGACTTCGTCGATACTTTAGAAGCTCTTGAAACTTTATTACAATTAAATGACATTAATCTTGGGAGTCAAATGTTATTCTTCCTACCTTCTTAAGGAGATTGAAAACCAGCTGCAGAGGTGAATTATTGATTGATGATAAATTAAAACATAACTTCTTACTTGTAGAACGTATCAGATAATTAAAATTGACTTTGTGCCTAATTCATCAACTGTTAAGGAGATTTTAAAAATATACTACTTGTGGTGGCCGATTATTTTACTTAATTTTCAATTAGTCCCTGTAATTTGAAAATTTACATTTAAGCAGCTATTAAATAATATTTAGTGTTGTATCATTATATTTTTGTCAATATTTTATCAAATATTCGATTACTAATCTTACTTTTAGACTACCAAGAAAATATATGTTTAATAATTGGATTAAAAAAGTTTAGCAAAATATTGTTTAAGGTCTGAATTATATTAAAAAGCATGTGAGCATTATAATAACTCAATTATAAACTTTTTAAATTATAGGGATCACATTAAAAATCAAGTGAAAATATAATCCAAGCAAAATCATTTACGTGTTGGATATTTCTCTCTCTATTAATATTCAATTCTTCTAATATAATTACAGTAACATGTATATATGATCTCATTATTAAGTTCACACAACTGATTACCAAAACCTTCTATCATATCTATCAGAAAGCAACAAAGACCTCAGCTATCTCAGAAACCTACCAGGAGCGCCAGAAAGGCTCCAAATCTTCAAAGCAGACCTTGAGGTACCAGACAGCTTCAAGGAAGCCATTGAAGGGTGTGTCGGAGTCTTCCATGTCGCCCATCCGATGGACATGAGAGGCGAACAGCCGGAGGAAGTTGTGACGAAGTGGGCTGTGGAAGGAACCCAAGGGATTCTGAGGACATGCTTGAGTTCAAACACAGTGAAGAAATTGATTTTCACTTCAAGTTTAGCTGCAGTCATGTTTAAGAACTTTAAAGGTATTGAAACGGTGGACGAAACGATATGGAGTGACCTTGAAATTGGGCGTTCAAGCCCTGCTTTGAGGTCCTCATATTTTGTTTCAAAGACATTGACTGAGAAGGCTGTGTTGGAATTTGGAAAGGAAAATGAGACAAAGTTGAAGGTTGTGAGCTTTGTTCTTCCTTTGGTTGGCGGACCTTTTCTTGCCCCAAAGATGCCAGCCGCAATAAGTTTGGCACTTTCATTGATCTTAGGTATGAATATTTGGACCCTCTCTCTCTCAATCTGTTATCATTAATAATGTGTAGTATTATATTACTCCAGTTCATATTATAAGGTGCCTTCGAAAAGGATTTTTTTATATTTTAATATAAGGTACTTGATGGGATATAAAATACATTTTTTAATATTATCTCTATTTAAATCCATCAACTATTAACTATGAGAGAGATAACATGATGTAAATTTGAAAATTTTTTCTTTTAAATAGGTATAAGATTGAAAGTTTATTGTATTTTTAGACAAAAAATAATTATTTAACCATCTTTTATTAGTTTTAGTGAGGTTATTAGAAATGTCTTATAATAGAGACTAGAGAGAGTATGTTTTACGGTACTCCCTCCATTATAAATTATTAGACATTTTTAGATAAAATTTTATATATTAATAAATCTTATTAAATATGCTTAACGACCTTTTTTTCCCAAACAAAAGTATATATTTTCAAAAATTTCTTTATTAATATATTGACAAGCAAGAGGGACTGAAATTAAATATATATAGAGAGAAAATATAATATTAAAATAAACCTATTTAATAAAATTTTAATCTTTTTAAAGTATCTTATATTTTGAGACTTTGAATCTTTGCCAGAAATGTCTTATAATTTGGGAAGAAAGGAGTATGATACTAATGTGTAGTATTATTTTTATTAATTCGGTCATTAAAAGTTTCATCATACTATTGAATATGCAATGAACAAATACTTATCTCCTTTGATATTTATCAAGACAAGAACATTTTTCATGTATTTATATGGAATTTAAGAATTGAATCACACCATTTATGATTTGTAAATAATATGACATGATATTCTATGAATTTTTGTCAATATTAACATGATATAAATTTTATTATCCATCTTGATTAGGATATATAGATATTTTCTTTGAAATTTTTTTTACCAATTAATGATCGGTGTGCATAGTATGAGTCCCAAAATATTACTTGAGGATTAAGCAGCACTCTATCTAGTATCAGCAAGAACTACTTTCCACCTTCTTTTGAGATTAAAATTGTTGAAATTTTCTTTGTAAAAAATGATAGATTTGATTCTGGCCCCCATGTTTTATGTTATTTGAAATTTCGCTTCCTCATGGTCATAACTCTGGATCTGTCCCTGATTTTGAATATCGTACAAAAAGTATTATAAAAAATATGAAAATATCAATTTCTCATTAATCTTTTTTTTCTTTTAAAGATCTAGGCATGATCTAGGAATATCAACATTATCAATTTAGGGTATATATTACCCCCATTGTTTTCTTCTCTTCCTTCACTTTTTTCCTCTCATATTCAATATTCTTATTGAGAAATATAATATATTTAAACCTTGAAATTTCATTTATACTTTTCAGATAGATATATCAAAGAGAGACAAAAGACATTAAGAGAAACCTATTTGTACATGTCATATATGTACTATGTGCATGAAACCCCAATTCTCTAGAAATTAAAGAACAATGAATGTGTAAGTAGTATATTACAATAGGCTATTCACCAAAAAAAAAAAAATGTATTGCCATAGGCTAAAGTATACATAGTCTTTTAATGTTATAAAATTTTATTTTGGTCCCTTAAATTTATAAAATATATTTTGAGTCATTTAACTTTAATATTGTTAATTCAATCAACAAAAAAAAATCAAACATTAAACTTTTAAATATTAACAAAATATATATCAAGTGTTGACATATTAAATTTTATTTTTTTTAAAATAGTTATAATTGACACAAAAATAATCATTTGAAACTAACATAATTATAATTAAAGGATTATTAAGGAACCAAACTAAAACCTTATATAAAATTTGAGAATCATAAGTATAGTTTTACTTATTACAATATATAGCTATCTATAAAGCAACACTTTAAGTTGTTTATTTGTTCAGGTGACGAGAGCCAATGCAAGATTCTGAGAAACACATACATGGTGCACGTAGAAGATGTCACAAGGGCTCTTATATTTCTATTCGAAAATAGCAATGCTAAGGGACGCCTTATTTGTGGTTTTCACCAAGTCACATTTCAACAGTTGCATCAAATGATTTCGCAGAAATACCCTCAGTATCACATAGCAATACCAGAGTATGTTTAGCGAATTAATAGCCATCTCTATCTATTCTTCATTTTTCCCACATTTCATATGAAACCTGCCTTTAAAAAAAAAAGAAAGAAAGAGAACATAAGAACACATCTCACCATTTTTTCTTAAGTTTTACTGAAATTGTATAAATACTTTTGTGTTTTCAAACTTAATACAAATCTCCCATATATATATAGTGTTTTTTGTTTATAGACGTACTTATTTTTTATTTTCAAACTAATCACAAACATTTTTATTTTTACATTTTGTTTGAAACAGAAACCTTTGCGGTGCAGTTTTATAAAAAGTTGGACAGATTTGTGTTGGTTTATTCTTTTTATTTTTTTAGAAAGGTTTATATAAGTTTTAAAAATAGGATGGAAATTTATGGAATTTAACAATGCTGATGAAAGGTGAAAAATAAATTTACTTTTCTTTTCTTATACATATGATGTTTACTTGTCGTTATTTTTATGGAAATATAAAAATGTCGATGTAATTCACCAAAACTCTATAAAGAGATTTGTATTACAAATTGACATGTGTAAGTTTTAAAAATAATAAAGAACCTTATGTAATTTAGTAAAACTCAAAATTTATATGATTTTATTTTTATTTTTTTAAAATCTACGCATACATTTCAAAATAAATGGATAGTATTTATAAACACAATAAATACTCTAAATGTATCCTTATGATTTTTTTAACAAAAATAACAATTTAATTAATTAAAACTTAAAATACTAGTTTTTATTAATTTTGCAGTAATTTCATGGGAGCAAAGGATAATGATAAGAAGAAGTATCCTTGTCTGTCATACAAAAAGCTTCGGGACACAGGGTTCGAGCTAAGGTATGGAGTCGAGGATATTTATGATGACGCTATCAAGTCATGCAAAGACAAGGGTTTTCTCTAGGTAATATATAAGACAATCATATATCTCTGTAATTTGCAGAAATAACTGGTGTGTAGCATTTGCATGGGAATAATATGTGTAATATATCATGTGAAGCAGAACTTAATTATCGGTGTTAAATATTAAATCTTATTAGCACACTATCTTAGACACTTTTTTACTCGCTCGAACTTGAAAAAAAAAACAAACAAACTTTTACCATCGCCAAAAGTTCAAAATTTTTAGTGACAACTTTTTGTGGTTAAATAGTTCTCAGCGGGACCAAATTTTGTCAATGCTAACAGTAGTTCCTTTAAAAAAATATACAAATAATGCAAGCTTATGCCTAGCCACTTGCCAAGTATGCATCACCTCATTCCATGTCACTAGCTTAGTGTGCACCATCTTATATCACATCACTTATGTGTGTACCATTTCATGTCATGCCACCAACCAAAGGTGTCACGTCAATCTATGTCACTAGTCAAGTGTATACCATACTATGTCATGCCAAACTATCACCATGTCACATATTCATTGTATTTATATATTCTTTTCAATTATTATTGTGTGACATTTTTAACCGTTTCAAGCATTTTAATTATTTTTTTTCTTGATATCATACAAAAGTGAGATATATACTTCCATTTTTACCCTTAATTAGTTTAAAATAGTGATATAACTATATTAAATACTTTTACGTCAATCAAAAAAGGATAAAATTAAAAAAATAATTTAATTATTATAAGATGTCCTACATTTTAGACAAAACATTATTTTTAAAAAGTGTGCTACAAATAAGAGACCAGAGGGAGTATTATATAAATCCATTCTACAAACTAACTCTTATGTTCAGTAACGTGGTCTTCATGGGGTCCATGCAACATTTATGAAGGAAGGGGATGTTGATGTGTCTCGAAAAAATGGCACAATTCGAATCCGAATCCAAATAAAGTCCCTCCAAAAAATACAATACAAAAACTCTGATTTTGTAGAAGTTAAGGCCTACGTATTGCCAAGAATGTTCAGATATAGTCCGCATTTAGAATCCCCTGTTGATCAAATGGGGAAGTTTATAGAGGATGTGAAAATTAACCTCATTCAAAACCCATGAATCTCTAAGTGAAGTGTGACTCATGTTTTTACGATGAACTGGGTTTATATTTATTATGCTCTGTAAATGAAGTGAGAAACATATCCTATAATAATTGGGTTCATATATACTGCCAACCAAAAACTAGAAAGTTTGATGATAGCCCCCCCCCCCGCCCCCAATAGGAAGTTAGACGGTGTGTCGCATGAGCAGCAGAAACCAAGCATCCTTAAATGATCATAAGGACAATCTTACAAATTGCGGAGACGATGTCACCAACCCATTTGGAGGGCGCGTAATGTAATATCCTTCTCCACCAAGGAAGCCCTTTAGAAATGTCTTAGAATAGGTTAGAATACCTTAGAGGGATTTTAGAATGGGAAAAAAAAAAAACCAAAAGCTCTGTAGGACAATGTGAATATATAACATTCATCCACGAATTAATAGACGTAGGACAGAAAGCCTGAGGAAATGATGATAGGTTTGATGAGTCTAGGAACTGTGTTCAATGCTAATTAAACTCTAATTGAATCTAGTCTAGTGAGTTGCGATGTTAAGTTTCCTAGAACACTAAGAAAATTTGAATTTCATTTCGTAAGGACTTGAAAAGACTAATTGGTAGTTTATTTAACCAGGACGGATAAAGTAAGAAAATTAAGGTTTTGCATTTACATAATCGGACTATGATGAGTACGTTACGTTCAAGCTACACCCACCTAGTGGAGCACTAAATTAAGGGGATTGTGGGTAGGGGTTAGCAAAACCGAATCAAAATCAAAAATCAAACCAAATCAAACGAGTTTTGTCTATTTGATTTGGTCTATTTAGATTTTCAGTTCGATTCGGTTTTCTTTTAATGAAAATTTCAGTTGATCAGTTCAATTTAGTCTAAGAATTTCAGAATCAAGTAAACTGAACTGAATGAATTATCTATAATATTCCTTTCATATTTTTGAAAATGTGAATAAATTCTTATTTAGGTGAGTAAGAAATATCTTTCTACTACTTGCAGTAATAGTATTTTTTTTTTGTTTAATGTGATGTTCTAATTTTTTATTTCTATAATTTAGTTTTTAGTGCAATAGTACTGAATCTTATTAACTTTCACATAAATTATGATATAAGATTGTTATTTTTTTGTTGGGCCTTCAACATCAAGGGAAAAAATTGAATACAAGAATATATGAATAATTAAATTTTATAGACCCAAATCAAAGCTCATAAATCGAATAGACCAATCAAACCGAATCATTAAAATTCGGTTCGATTATGTATTTCGATTCGATTTGATCCAAATATTTTATATAATTCGGTTGATCGGTTTTAGAGAAATTAAAACTGAACCGACTGAATCGACCAAATGCTCGCCCCTAATTGTGGGTATAAGAGGTTAGAATTATTCCATAAAGCAACCACCGAGGCCAGTTAGGCTTAGAAAGGAGGAGGAATTGGGTTTTAAAATTATATTTTCGTTTTATGAGAATTTTTGAATTGAAACTTGACTGACTCAACTTTGTAGTTTGAGCGGTTCTAGCCAGGGACTTCTAATTTGATTATTTATTGGTGGTTCTTAGGAGTCTCTTTTTGGAAGCTAGAGACTTCAAGTTCTTGTGTCGAACTCAAGCTCAAGTAATGATGCTTTACTTTTACTACCATAAAAAAAAAAAGCTATTTATGTTGCTTTTTTAGGGATATTTACATCCTTATAATAAGGAATATAGATCAGGGCGATATAAAAAATTGATACATTTATATCATTTTTGAAAGGGACGTGGATAATAAAACCACATCCCTTCTTAAGAAAAAGATACATGGGTCCCCTTTTAAGAAAAATGGACACGGATTATCAAAAATCCACATCCCTTTTTCTTAATAAAGGATGTGGATTTTTAATAATCCATGTCCTTTTAAAAAAAAAGGGACGTGGATTGTTTAATTTTTTTTTTCAGTAGGTAATTTGTATAATTCTTTACATCCAATTGAACCTGTAAATTTTCACGCCAGCAACAAGCCAACATGTACATCTAATGTGTCCAACAAATAACAACAACAGTAGCAGTATAAGCATATATAGACTAAAGGAACACTAAAGCCAAGTGTTCAATATTTACAATCAAAATCCAACAAACTACAATATACTAAGTAGAGTTTCTAGCCTTTTAAGTTAGATAAGTCAAGCTAAAATTCTAATTGAACAAATTATAAAATTTGGATTATGTAAATAACTCTCAAAGAAGTTGACCTGCCAAACTATTTTGAATGTCATTTATCTCTTTATTGGTGTAGGGGTACTCATTGTCAAAAAATTATAAATTTTTATATGATTTTCATTAGATCTAGTAAAATTCCAAAGTCTTTATACTCTCTCCCTAATTTTTCATTGAGATTAAACTACATACCAGGTGTAAATTCTATTAGTATCGAATTGAATAATCTCATACATATCACGGATAATATAATATCCGCACTCTATACTCCCCATCTGTCGATGGCATTGGTCAAATAAAAATTAAATGATAAGCATAAACAATAACATATATGGAATGATTATGAATGAAGAACACTGAATAAAAATTACTCACTTTTGAAAATATCGAAGTCGATGAGCCTTTTTTTTTGTTCCACTTTTGGGTGGGTGGCAGCTTTCCCCCATTATATGATATATCTTTAGTGAACTATAATAAAATTTAAATTAAAAAACAAGATATTAAAAGAATTTAAATATATATAAAAAATAACATTTATAAATTATAAAACCTTAACTTACGTGTTAAATATATCTTTAGTTCACCACTAAGTTGCTTGCCCATGGAGCAAAACCAGTAAATCTCGTGCAAATACGGGCAGACAACACAAAGAGACCAGTGATAACTATAACATATAAGAAATATAATGAATATATGAAAAGAAAAAAAATATTACCAAACTGAATATATATGCATAAATATAAACAACTTGCCTTTAAGAACTAGGGCCAGATAACATGATAATTTTGTTTCTAAAATAGTATTGCCCACGTATCCCTTCCTATCATGGATATCATTGTGAGTCAGCATCACATAAGTGAGACACAAAAATCCAAATTGATTTTCTTTAGGTCCAGTGCAGAGATTTTTGAAAAACCTATTAGCAAAAGAAGATAAAAATTAATGCATATAAATTAAAATAAAAAAATGAGATAAAATATAAATAATAAATTTACAAGATTGATAACATGGCCCATGGTATATCTAGCTCCCTCATCAATAGAAATTCAAGGATGTCTTTCTTATCAATTGCAAAAGGGTATAATCTATCTACACCCACGATTCCTTTACGCATCGTCAATTGAATTAGATTTGTCATTGCCTTGAAAAACTTATATAATTGTGGTAGATAAGGGAAGTCCTAAGCATCCTCTGGATCCTAATGACACATCAAACAAATACAAGTTATAGAAATTAATGAAAACCAAAAATCAAACAATAATAGGTGTTTTTTTTTACCATTGAAACTAATATATCCATGTTAACAAGTCTTTTAGGTCATAGAATAAAGTGACCTAAGGCTTGGCTTAATTTTACAACCTCAACAATAGGGAATGACATTGTCACATGATGCTCAAGAATAACTTCAATTGACACCTTAGGATAGTGGATATGATGGATTGTTCCCCTGAGCATGTATACCCGAGCTATAGCAATAACCCACTTCATAGGCTTATCCAAATAAAGAAAACAAGATGTCTTATCATCTATTGAGGGACTAGAGGCATGCGCTGCTGTCTCTAGTAGGTTATGACTATCTTTTGTGCTTTGAAGCACAGTCTAAAGAAATAAATGAAAAGGTTAAATATAAAATAGAAAAATAGACAAGACTGAATATTTAACTAATTAAAAACTTGAGGTCCTTGCTGCTCAGTTCCCTACATAGTTCCTATGTTGGAGACCATGGATTTGAACTCTTGAAGAAGCTGCTCACAAAACAACACATGATCATGCTTGTACTTTTGAGTAACTTATCTAGAATCTCATCAAGCTCAGCTTTAGATATAACTCTTGATCTTCATGGTGTTGGTTCGAAGTACTGTCTCAAAC